GGCCTCTTGTTACTTAGGTTTCATGGAAAATTAATAGGAAGGGCATCTTACTATTATAGTGACTACAATTATATTCAGACAATACTTAATCATTTATATTTACTCAAAGGGTACAGATGACCTATTGCTATCGTACATTGCCATGTGTAAACTTTTCCTTTAAAACACGAACCCTGCTTAATACCTAGGCAGATTTCAACCAAATTAGGTCTGAAACTTTATTTGGGGTGGGGCTATTTTTTTTTTTTTTTTTTTAATTCTGAAATTTGATTTGACACTAGGGTTTTTGCCCCAAAAGTGTAGTTAGACAATGCTTCACTTAAAAACGCTACTCTTCCTTAATACATGAGTGGATTCCATTCAAATTTTGTCTGTAACATTAGTAGGGGTTAGCAAATAATTCTTAAATTTAGAAAGTTGATTCAACCCTTGGGGCGCATGGGGAGGGACTCCAAAATAGGTAGATTTTGCCTCAAACATCGGGGAGTGTCAATGACATCAAACGTGTGAGTGATCCCGAGATTGTCCTAACCAAATCTTATTTTTACGCAAAATCAAACATAACTCATCTAGAAAATATAGTCTGAACTTCATCTTATGTTTCAATTAAACCAATTAGAAAAATAATTGGAGTTTGATATTTTCTAAAAAAAAAAAAAAGATATGGTTTATTGTTTCTATTCATTCTGATCAAAAGTTCAACATGTTGACCAAAGTAGTTATTTTGTAACATGATTGTGCAACTGTTTTTGATGCACAGAACCTAAAATTTATGAGTTTCTGATATTTTCAAGGAATGTTCAAAATTTGAATTCACCAGATTTGGCAGATCAGTGATTAAGTGGTTTGTCCGTCCATTCATAGATTGTCAGATAACCATTAAGGGCCATGGCCCTCTGGCTTTCTTTTTAGCAAGTTTTAAAATCGAAAGGAAACTCTGTTTCAAAACTTAATGCGTTGGGTTTTTATGGTGTCCAATCAGTGAAACATTTCATGCATGTACACCATGTTGTTTTAACATAAAGTGCAGTAACAGAATCATCATTTGTCTCCAAGTGTTGAAAGTCAGATGTCTGTAGGCGAATTCTATGAGACTGTACATTAAAGTATAAACTTCAAGATATTAACTGAACTACTGACTATAGGCTCTCTGTATAACCCCACAATGTCAACACTTCTGGTCAGTAATATGGAACTAATAAGGATGTTTATGGGTTATTATTAATTCAATACATGGATTGAATAAGATTGCTATGCATTCTAAAAATGCAGTTAAGAAATTGTCTGATATCTCAGTTTTTCCCAGTGCACATTTCCTTTTTTAAGTTCAAATAGTTCAGTACCAAAAGACGAAAGAGTTGGACACAAGTAATGTGAGTATTATTAACGCCCTTTCCATATAACATAGAATGTACACATCATAAAGTGTATAAAGCAATTGGAATATAATAAACACACTATTGCATTGAGATAGAGTTTCCTCGATATTACCATATATATGACACAGAAACTTAAAATACATCCATTCAGGCTATCCATATAGAATTTCTAATCAATTTAGCCATGCGGATGGTACCAACCAGCTCACTTGTAACCGTAATATAACACGTTTGTGAGGTATTTTTTTTAATTACCGAAGAATACGAATGGTCATCCATGGTCATTCAAGGTATTATGAACACAATGGACCAGGACCTGCTAAAGAACACAATTTTGAAGAACACAATTTTTGAAGAACACAATTTGACCTCATCAAAACAACTCCACAACTCCTGAGTCCTTTTTGCTTCATAGATTTATAATTAAAACAATAAAAAACCTGTAACATGAAATACATCCTATTACTACAATACATATACACACTCATACGATATGATAAAACATCACTTTGACCGTAGTTGGTAACATTATTTTACAATACTGAATATATATATATATATATATACATTGCAACTGTAAATTCAATGTATAAACTATATAGAAATAACAGTTTGTATCCAATTATACGACATATATTAAAATACCCACCCCTTCAGTGTGGAGAGGGTTTTCTCGGCACTAAATCCGCCGAGCCCTCAGACTGACTTGTTCAGTTCACACTATAAATAAAACAACACACACATTAAAAACTATGCTTCTTCGGACTCACCTGCCTACTAAATCGACCACACCCGATATTATGAACACACTTCCTAAATATCAACTTTACATTTAAACAAAAATATGCCTTAAATCAAATATAATATTAAATAGACACTATATTTAATTACGCTAAAATATTTTACACATAGTACTTACGTTTACAATTCTTTAGGCTCTAGTGCTGCTACCTCTTATGGTCGCTAGGCTTCCTATTAGCATACTTCGATGTTGTAGCTCTGGGCGCTCTGTTCTAAAGTGACCAACGTGCCAGGTAAAAATTTCCAATATTCAACACTCGCTTACTTTACATAGACAATACTTAGTGGACAAACAGGTTTACTACACATTACATCACATCCGCTCAGTATCTCACTCATCCTCACGTGCTAGTTCCGCTAAAACTAAAAGTTTAGCCGCAATGCGTACAATATTTACGGTAGGGTGATTTCCATTACATACGAAGTGTACAGACTGTAATTAAAACAAAACTTAATCAAATAACATTACATACAAACTAAATAGTTAAAATATTCAACAGTGCCTGTTGAGCTGATGCTGGCATATCCCCGAAGGATACTGAGGTGCTATGTCTATCAGGAAATTAGCTTTCACCTTCCATTCCGGTTCCGCTCCAACAGGTTGCTGTAAACACACAAACTCGCCTGATGTCATCCAATTAGGCGGTCGTCTGTTCCTAGTCGATTTGCTGAGTAATGAAATCCCCGAATCCGGCGAAGTAATATCCCTCTGCACTGCAGTTGCAGGTTCGTGTTCCGGTTCCAATGTCTCAACATCTATGTATTCGGTCTGAGGTCCAGGAACAGGTGTCCTTGATCGGCTGCACCTTGTCCTGTGTGGATGGCCGTTGCACGTTAGTAGAAACGTTCATACCCACAAATTCCTCATCTGAGTTTTCGTTGCTGACGCTTACAGGCGGTGAGTCAACAAGCTTAGGCACATACTTCTGTTGATGTGGACTACTACCCATCCTCGACTTCCTAACACGAGGTACCGGTCGAGGTGGATGTGCAATAAGTACCGTGTCGGCTTCCACCGTTATAGTTCCAATGGGAAGTAGATGGTTTCGGTGAAGAGTGCTACTCTTTCCTTCACCACTCTCCCGAAGTATGGTGTATACAGGAATATCTCGATTGGGTTGATTTGCAAGATATATATATATGTCAGGCACCCAGCGACCCACTAGCTTATGACCTTCTTCAAAGGCAAGTACTTCAATAAGAACCTGGTCTTCCGGTTCTAAAACGACTTCTCTACTGAGTAAATCATAGCCTGCCTTTTGACGACCCTGCGATTCCTGTGCCTTTCTATTCGCTAAGCTGAACAAATGGGACATCCTGTTCCTCATATTTGTGACAAATCTTGCATATTAGTTGGGGTAGCGTCCTCGTTCACTCCACCTAGTAGATCAACGGGTAATCGTGGCTGTCGTCTAAACATTAGTTGAAATGGCGAATAACCCGTCGTCTTATGCCGTGTACAGGTGTACGCATATGTCAGCGAACAGACGAAACTCTTTTAATCCTTCTTTTCATGCGGCTCTAATGTACCTAACAAGTCAATATGGGTTCTGTTGAAAACGATCGCACAATCCATTTCCGCTAGGATGGCACGATGTCGTTCTCAACCTCGTGATTCTTTATTACTTTTCCCTCGAAGTTATCTCCTTGGTCGGAATGTAATCTCCGAGAAACTCCATAGCTAACCCTTACATCGCCTCTGCTGTTGCTTTTGCCGACTGACTTCGAGTTGGAGTAGCATTGGCATACTGGGTAAAGTGGTCTGTGATCACCAATACATCTTGAAATCCACCTTTCGCCGCTTCCAGTTTCAAGAAGTCCATGCATACCAGATCCATAGGTTGGGTGGTAACAATGTTGACTGTTGACTAAAGGTACCCTGATGTCAGTCGATGATTTCTTGATCAGACATCTCTTGCACTCCTTCAGCCTCGTCTCCACGTCTTTGGTCATACCAGGCCAAAACATCTATCTCCTAGCAGAGATAACGTCGAATCTCGTCCAGAACGACCAATGTCATTGTGTAATGACGTCAGAACCTTATTTCGCATGGCAATCGGAAGTACGAGTTGATCCACATCAGTTTCACCATCAGATATAACACACCATGTTTCAGTTTCCAGCTATCCCAACATCTCTTTAGAGTTGTGTTTTCTGGTATAGCTGATAGGTCCCTTCGTGTTGGCTTCAGAGTTTTCCTGATAATGGGTAACCATTTCCCGATAACATCGTCCTCCACCTAAAGAGTTCGCCACTGATGGGGTGTCATAGTTTGGAAACCATGTTCGTCTTCGACGTCAAGCGTATCTAGTACCTCTGTTGATAAGCTCAAACATTCCACCAATGATCCATTACGAAGTTTCTCCTTTACAGATGGCTTGTACAGATTCTGATGATATGTTGCATCCCGGAAGTCGTGACAAAGCGTCTTCGTCAGCACTGTTCTGTCCTGGTCGATACTTAATATCGAAGTTGTATGCCATTAGAGCGGACAACCATCTATGCCCCTTTGCGTCAAGCTTAGCCTTCGACAAAACGTAAGTCAGCGGGTTGTTAAAACGGTGAACGTCTGTCCACAAAGATGATCATGGAACTTTTCAGTAACAGCCAATTTTAACGCCAGGAATTCCAGTTTATGAGCCGGATAATTCCTCTCCGACTTGCTCAATCCTCGATTGGTGTAGCAAATGGGTGGTAACTGTCTATTCTGCTCTTGATATAGAACGACCCCTAGTCCTAGGGTACTTGCATCAGTGTGGAGCTCAAACTTCTGGCTGTAGTTAGCATATCCAAGCACAGGTGGATTACACAATGCTTCCTTCAGGTCGTTGAATGCTGTAGAATGCTCCGATGTCCTAATCCACTTAACACTATCTCCGTCTTTGTTTTTCCTTTGTTCTTCTTGACTTTGGTCAGTGGGAACAGGTCAGTTAAAGGTCTCGCAATCTTGGAAAAATCCTTTACAAACTCCCTATAGTAACCAACAAAACCTAAGAATTGGCATAGTTCTTCAGGATTAGCCGGCGTCGGCAAGTATCGCAGTTTCTCAGTCTTTTTTCGGATCTGTCTCAATGCTTTCTGGTATAACGATTTGTCCAGCGTAGGCAGCTCTTCACGAAGAACTAGCATATCGTATTCGCAAGCTTCAAACCGTTGTCCCTGAGTCTATGAAAAACCTATTGTAGTCGTTCCAGGTGCTCTTCGTAAGTCTGCGAAAAGATGATCAAGTCATCAAGATAGATCAGGCAAATAGCTCAGTGTAGGTCCCCTATACATCTTTCCATTAAGCGCTGAAATGTCGCAGGAGCATTCGTAAGTCCGAAGGGCATCGTCGTGAACTCAAAACCCCAGTGGACAAAAAATGCAGTACGCTCCTTTTGTTCTTCCGCAAGCTCAAGCTGATGATAAACCGACTTTAAATCCAGCACAGTAAAGTAGTGTGATCCAGCTAAACAATCCAGAATGTCCTCGACTCGTTGTAACGTATATGAATCCCGAATGGTTCGTTGATTTAGCTGACGGAAGTCCACACACATTCTCAGTGATCCATTTTTCTCCCTTACCAGGATAATGTTCGAAGACCATAGACTGTAGGATGGTTTGGTGATTCCCGCAGACAACAGTTGCTGAAGGTGAGTCTTCACCTCGCCATATATAGAAGGTGGTATCCTCCAATGACGTTGTTTAAAAGCAACTGGATCCGTCAAATCGATTCAATGTTTCATGAGAGTCGTACATTCTAGGTCAGTATCTTCATGTGAAAATATGTCCTCGTACCCCTGAATGAGTTTCGTCGTAGCTGTAGTTCCTCCTCTGAAACGGTATTCCTACCTCTCCATCGACAATAGGAAGTTCCTTGGCAATCACTGGTTGTATCTCACATAAAATTGCCTTGGGAGGAATAATAAACGTATTTTTGGTCAGATTGCTCACCTCTTCCAATTAGTCCTTCAAAACTGACATCTGCTTCAATAAATCCGGAGTAAGGTAACTGTTGTCCATCAGCACATTCTATAACAAGAATTTCATCAATAGGCTGTAGATCCAAATGACCCAAATGACATTCATAAAACTGTTGGCTCACTGTAGACATGATCGCACCTGTATCCAGTAACGCCCTGGTTTCCTTACCTTCTACGTTGACATCTACTTCATTAACGTTCCCAATCAATTGTTCTCCTGTCCTAGTAGCCTTAGCAGTCTTGTTGAGTCCTTGAATTCGGAAATCTATGAGCGGTCCGTCTTTATTGACTCTTTCCCTTTTACCCATCATCTTGATCAGTCTTTTCTTTTCTTGCAATGGCTTAGAGTGGTAGACAGACCCTCATCCGAAGTTGTTAGAGTTCCCTCTATTCCTGTTACGGTGATCTCGGCTTATCTCTGGTCCTTTCTATAGATCTAATTGCTATGCACAGTTCTTCAAAGTCGGGAATGGAATCATGCATGTGGCCAGTAACATCTCTTAAGTCTTGCCTCAGACAAGACCAAAACTTGAACAATCGCTTATTGGGTTCCTTGGGTCCTATACAGGAATAAGCTCTTAGCAACAAGTCTTCCAGTCTACAAGACCGTTTTCCTTGGGTTGCCCATGTGCGACATAAAAATTCTTCAGCAAGGTTTCTTGGTCATCTACTATGTCGTACAGACTTCTAAGTTTGACGATTAACTGTGCCGTCGTCGCATTAGCTCCTAACCGCATGACTACTCTGGCTGCAGTTCCCTTTAAAGATCTTCGGATAGACTGCCCTATGACATCCTGTGGCTTACCAGTATCAATCAGATATTGCATGTCGTGTTTTCATAAATCGAAAGTAGCTTCACCCTTCCCTTGATCTCCAGAAAATAATTTTAACTTGTAGGATCCCGTGCCCTTAGTACATGTCGTAGTACCAATACCTCGGGTTACTACGTTTCCGATTACCCCTTGTCCAGCTATCGAAGGATCAGCAGTGTCAAATCCTCCTGTTGAATTAAGGAAACCCATCATCTGACGCCTTAACTTAACTAAACTTTCACTTTTTTGTCTAGCAAAAGTTTGTGAAAACAACTTAGATATGTCCTCGACAGAGTCTCCTTCCTCTTCCGCCTCCGAAAGTTTTCCTTTAGAATCAGTCAAGGCTAATTCGGTGTCACAGTGATACAACAAATCAAAATTGAATATTCAAGCAAACAAACGCAAAGTTCATCTATTTGTTCTTACCAAACACAGGACAAGTCTTTTACTCTTGTGCTTATATATATTCACACTTATAAATTAAATAGAATTAGCCAGCTCTGGCACATCTACAGTCAATAATTTAAACGACTAACGTGAAATAGAACTATACAAATTCTACGAAGAATGATATTCAGTCGCGTTCAGTCAACATACACACGAATAAGCAAACGAAAATGTCAGTTCGATTAGCGATAAATTGCATTTGATTCAACATCATCCATTCTACATAAATACAGAATGGTCCACACCACATGTGAAACAAAGAAAATATCAACAGCGACGAAGTGTTTATCAACAAATAACGAATTCCACATCAAAGAATACTAAAGCAATCCTACATGTTAATTTTCGAAATAGATGAAAAAAATTAAAACAAAGCAAATCTTTCAATGTATGATGAAACCAAGTTAAAGACTTTATAACAGATTAAGTCAAATAAAAAAAAAAAACAGATATTTTTAAAACAAAAAATCCCCGAAACAGCGAAGTCAATTTAAAACAAAACAAAAAATATCGAAAAACAGGTGCAATTGATACCTCTAAAGCAAAGTAAAAAACTAATCTAAAGACAGGGAAAAAATAAGTACTTAATTTAACAAATAGAAACACTAAACAAAAAAGTAAATGTGTAATGAATGTGTAGGATAAAAAATAAAAATCAATTTTATCACTAACTCATAAAGTGAAAACAAAATACAAACTAGAAGTGAACGCACTATAAACAAAAATAATAAACTGAGAAATAGAAATGAATAAGTTATATCAAACACACAATTAACAGTTCATATTTCGCGAAGTAAGTATAAGATAGGTATAGTACAATGGGTGGAAAGTCAGTGATACACAAATTGTCATATACCGTATACGGTCAACACATGTCCATTAACGATTAGAATTAACTGCGCAAATCGCAGTCGCGTTATACATGAAACACTCATTGGTCAAGGTCGTCTGCAGTTCATTTAATTTACCTGTCCGGTCTATATTCACAGTTAGTAGATATCCATACCGTCAAGCGTCACTTGGGTGAGCGCACATCATAAGATCATTAGATGGAAATTCTTCACTTACCTACGTTTACATGTACGTATAACGGGAGAATGATAGGGGTATGAATAAGCTCGTCTACCTGTTTACAGTTATATTTCGGTTGAAATGCACAGATCTATACCAGGTGTGGAATCAAATTACCATTTCTTTATACCAACATGAGGTAAGTTCATTATAGGTATGTAACGTCATTACTAATTTCTCAACAGCGTTAATATTAACATTTGTATCGTTGATGTGATGATATAAATATTTAGATATCTCGTTGAAGCCTCGTCGCACTTGTCACATACTCGGGAATGGATCATGTTATTGCCATACATTTGGATGATTCCGTGTAGCATATAGACTAATGCCTTCTGTAACGATAAAAATTGGTTTGAATAGATGCACCAAAAAAGCAATGCCAGATAAAAATATCATGAAACCGTTTAAGTAACTTACCATATTTTTGAACGCACATTGCACCTTGAACTTTAATGTAATCAATTATATCAGTAACATATAGAACACACTATAGTTTGAATTATTTCAAAGAAGAATTAACAAAATACCTTATTAATCAGGTAAATATTGCTGTATCCACGCCTCATCACTTGCTTTTAATCGTTCTTTTGAAATCAATCAAGCATTTTATTTTTTGTATTACATCTATGTCCTTTAGAGGTTGTACTTTCCGAAACTCGATGTTGATGCTGCATCATGTATTGTGACATCAAGCAAAGTGCATATAAACACAAAACAGGGTGATACAAAACACGTGCAGCTTCATACATCACCAAGAAACACTGTCCAAGTTGCAAAGATTCTAGCTGTTTTGTATTTTTTCAGAACTCATTCGAATGACTTTTAAAACCATGTGAGCATCAAAATATCTATCCCATGGTCATGTTCACTAAATAATTTCACCCTGTTCGTCTAGTAACAACGCAAACCTGTTATGACGCCATTAAAGCCACACGATCGTTTTGAAATCCAATCCAACTAGTTCAATAAATTTACGCAAATTAAATCGTATATGTGTTTACTGATAAATTGAGGTGTACGATTTCCATAATAACGTAAGTAGGTAATTTTGTACAATAACATATAAATTGATTCTGTACGATGATTGTATTAAGGAATATATTGAATTGAAGTACTGTATATACCATTTTTCTCCAAAAGTTCCAATTTAATCTCTTCAAAACAAACAGTATAGTAGGAATCTCAATTTTCAAATTGATCTCTTTTATGACGAACATTTTCTGTTTACTTAAGATTTTTTAAAACAAGAAGCGTGTTCGGGAAATTCACAACTGAAATATCACCTGATATCGAAGAAAGTAGTTTGTAAATCTGTAGCACTAAAAATCTCAATAACATTCCGTTTGATCAATTCAATTGATATGATTCGTCATTTTAATTTTTTGTATTTTTTGCTACGAAAATGAGATTCCCTTTTCACTGTACGACAAATTATTTGTCTTGTATATTAGAAATCCAGAAATTATGACTTCCAATAGCCTTGTTATTTACTGATGATACGAAACTGTACAGTGACAACAGGAAAAAAATAATTCTGCAGAAAGATTAGATAATCTTCAAGGTTGATCTGACAAGTGGCTGTTAAAGTTTTACCCTGATAAATGTCACCATATGAGAATCGGAAGGGATCATATATTCCAAATCTTCATATCTATCAGGAGTCCGAAAGGGCTAATAGTCCAAGTCAGCTGAAGGTACAGAAGGAGGAAAAATAGTAAGGCATTATAGTGGATAACAAGCTTAGTGTTAGACAACACATCCAGAATGCAAAACAAAGCAAACAGAATAGTGGGAAGGATAAGAAGAACGTATACATACCTGAATAGCAGATCAT